GTGACTAAACAAAGGGCGCCAATGTGAGTGTGCACACCGGCGCGCAAAACGGCAGGCATAAAAGCGTCATTTTTTTGGTTTGACGCACCGCGTTAAAAACTGGCCAACCAATGAGATTGCCGCTTTTGTTCACAGGCCTGGAGCTGCTGAAGTTACAGTAAAACATGACTTGGTGGCGCTCAAGCACAAAACGGTCTTGCCGAGCACACATTGATACCTAACGACAAAGAGGAAGTCAGTAGACGAAGAAGAAGCATCGAGGCAAGATGAATGTAGAGCTGCTAGTCTCATTGGTGTCTGAACACAAAGGGCTTTATGACAAACGCGACAGCGACTACAAAAATCTCGATAAGAGGGAGTTGTTATGGAGAGGAATTGCAGATCAAATAGGAACAGGTATTTTTCATTAAGCACCATCTAATGTCAGGGAGTGAATTTGCATGTTCATTCAGCTCATCGCCAGTGAAAATCTCTTGGGTATGAACACACAAGACGCGTCGAAAAACACTGGCGATAAGCGTGCGCGATAATCGTCCCGGTGTGTACGAGGCTTAACTCACTGAAACAACAGCTAAAATTGTTACGGGAAAAGCTAAACTATTTTGAAAACAAAAGTGCCATGCTGCTGATGTAGTTTAGTTACTGAAGCTAGTGAAAATGCTACATTCAGTCACTTATCACACACCTGTGAGGCAGGGATGCTCGGTGTGGTCTTACACTCTGCCAGACCCAGACTGTCTGTGCCGTGACTCTCCAGACACAGGCCGCCCTGCTTCAGGAGACTGTACGCCGCTTCCTGCTCGGGGATTCTGACAAACACAAGCAAGAAAGACAAAACACATTCAGAACGGACTTGAGAGTGTTAAAGACAAAGTCCAGGTTTGTCTGGCAGTCCATCAGAGTCCAGAGACACAGTCCAGTGAATGTGACTCACTTGAGTTCAGGATACACATTCTCAAGATACCAGCGGAAAGAGTTACACTTCAACTTCCGTCTTAAAGCAAGCCGATCTGCAATACTGTACAGAGAGACAGAGAGAGTTAAAGGAATAGTTCACCCAAAAATGAAAGCAAGAGATGTTTAGTACAATATTCACTGTGTGTTTCCCATATAATGACAGCAGACTGTGACCAGGGGCCGTCAAGCTCGAGCCATAAATGAGTCCACACTGCTTGTGCATTGTATTGATCATGGCATATTGTGAGAAAAATACTGAAATGTATCCAGTCAAAAAAATGTAATAAATAAATTGATGACGTATTTGCATATAAAATGTCCATCCATTACATAGTTTTAGTGCTGTCAAACGATTAATTGCGATTAATCACATCCAAAATAAACGTTTTTGCTTGCATAGTATATGTGTGTGTACTGTGTACATTTATTATGTATACAGGTGCATCTAAAAAAAATTGACTATCGTGAAAAAGTTATTTTTTCATGAACTGTAAGCTCTAATCATCAAAATTAAAACAACAAAACTTTTTTAATGTTTTACATTACATCTAATGAATCTAGAATATATGAAAGTTTCACTTTTTGAAATGTTACAAAAAAAGGAACTTTTTCACGATATTCTATTTTTTTCAGATGCATCTGTATATAAATACCCACCCATGCATGTATAGATTAATCGTTTGACAGCACTACATAGTTTTAATATGAACAAAATAATAAACATGATCAAAAAATAATGCATATTTTTCAGTAATACATAAATGAAACAGGCCAGATTTCTGCACTCAAAAATCATGGCATAATTTATTATTAATTATTTGCATCTATTTGGTTTCAATTAAATATTTTCAAAATGCATTTATTCAAATAGCTTAGAATCAGCATAAATCTGTGAAAATACTTCCATTTATTCAGTTAAATAGTATGAACATGGTTAAACATGACTAGCTGTGGAACAAGCAATATTCAGTTAGTTAAAATGTAAGTGACTGAAATAAATTTGATTTATTGATGATAAATATATAACCTGGTTATTGTGTAGTTAAAACACATACAGTTAGTACTATCACAGAAATCTGACCTGCTTCATTTATGTATGACTGACCAAAATGCCTCACATTAAATATATGAGCTTCTTTAATGTAGAAACTGTGTAATCTAAATAGATGGAAATTTTATATGCAATTCAAATACATAAATCTTAAATTTAGAGTCTTCTTTTTTTTTTTTTGGAGTAAATATCTTGTTATTTGCTGTTTGATTTCAAACCTAGCCTGATGCTTCTTGACAAGCCGAGATTGAATATATACTTGAAGTACTTTTATGAAGCTTGTTAGTCTGTTTTTATTGTACACTCTTAAAAATAAAGGTGCTTCACGATGCCATAGAAGAACCTTTTTTGTCCAAATGGTTCCATAAAGAACCTTTAACATCTGAAGAACCTTTCTGTTTCACAAAAGGTTCTTTGTGGTGAAAGAAGGTTCGAAAAGGTAAGAAAGAGATGGTTCTTTAAAGAACCTTTGACTGAATGGTTCTTTGTGGAACCAAAAATGGCTCGGTCCCACTTTATTTTAAGTGGCCTTAACTACTATGTACTAACATCAAAAAATTGGAGTAAATATCTTGTTATTTGCTGTTTGATTTCAAACCTAGCCTGATGCTTCTTGACAAGCCGAGATTGAATATATACTTGAAGTACTTTTATGAAGCTTGTTAGTCTGTTTTTATTGTACACTCTTAAAAATAAAGGTGCTTCACGATGCCATAGAAGAACCTTTTTTGTCCAAATGGTTCCATAAAGAACCTTTAACATCTGAAGAACCTTTCTGTTTCACAAAAGGTTCTTTGTGGTGAAAGAAGGTTCGAAAAGGTAAGAAAGAGATGGTTCTTTAAAGAACCTTTGACTGAATGGTTCTTTGTGGAACCAAAAATGGCTCGGTCCCACTTTATTTTAAGTGGCCTTAACTACTATGTACTAACATCAAAAAATAAGTACAATGTACCTGTTGTGTTCATATTGTATTGCAAAACACTTGCTGCTATTGAGGTGGGATATGGGTAAGGTTAGGGTGGTATGGGTAGGTTTAAGGGTGGGTTAAGGTGTAAGGGATGGGGCAACAGTGTAATTATAAATGTAACTAATTACAGGTGCAATTACATGCAGGTATTAAAAAATATATATAAGTACAATGTAAAAGCATGTATGTACACAATAAGTGCATTGCACCAAATAATTAATTAAAAAAAAGTACATAGTAGGTATGGCATAGGCGGAGGATGAACCGACTCCAGGGTAAGGCTAAAAGCAGCCAAATGTATTAAACACCATAAACCCATCTTTTTAGGCAAGAACCAGACATGGGCATCATGTAGGCTAAAAAATGTTTAATGGGACTACATTTGTATTTAACGTGATTACAATTGAATAAAAACGTTAGAAATTGATAATTATATAACGTTTCCTTTCCACGGTTATTCAAACAGCGAATAAATTATATATAGAAAGTGATCACTATCACAAGTTCAAGCACTCTCAAAAAAAAAAACATGGTTATAATCACTGAAGCTGTTTACACTGTGAAATGAATCTCTTACTTACATTGTACGTCCATCTGCGCTTTGTTGTTTATGATAAGAGAATTCGCAAGCGTCCGTAATTCATTCAGCGAACGCGCGCACACCCAACAAAACTGATCTGTTTCGACGATGACTCATCTGAACGCTTCTGATTGGCCATTGCATTCCTAAGCTCAACAGAATTGTGGGTGATTGGTTAAAATGCGCAACACTGTAAAAACGCCTACAATGAAATACGGTGCAACATGAGCAGATCTTAATTTCAATGCCACAATCGACACGGTCTATTCATATTTACTTTGTAAGCAACAGACGTAATTGATTTAATTTGTTTTTGCAGGGGCATTTTTGTCCAATTTAGTGGCATTTTTGCCCCAAGTCCCCATGGCCAGGGGAAGTACACACGCTCCACCTATGAGTTAAGGCCACTTAATATAAACTGGGACCAATGGTTCTTCTATGGCATCGCTGTGAAGAACCTTTTAAGCACCTTTATTTTAAAGAGTGCATGCAGCTGCATGAGCATTCTTCTAAACATCTCCTTTTGTGTTCCATTGAAGAAAGAAAGTGATGTACTGAAGTACTGAAGGTCACCATAACCAGATCTACATAAGGTTTTAGAGACGTCTGACCTCCCGAAGGCCTTGCCCTGCGCTGATGGTCTTGCGGCGTAGTAATACTGTTTATACTCATCCATCCAGACCTCAGCAGCTCTCCGCGAGTTCCTGCAGCATAACAGCCATTCATTCATACACTGCAATGCAAAACATATGATTGCAAGTTACGTAAAGGTCAATTTACTTGATGTAGGTGAGTGCGTTGCCCTCTGGGAAGTCATAAGGATGGCGTTTCCGGAAGACGTGGCCCACGCGACTGCAGGGCAGGATCTCAAGACTGCCGCCACACATCCACACTCTGAACGACAGCTCTACAGCATCACAACAGCAGAGATAGAATTACATTCACGTGTGGAAGTAAACAGAGAGACATTCAGAATATTGTTTCAATCGTCCTGAATAATAAATATTCACAGTACACATATATGTCATGTACACAAAACTTTTATTTTGGATGCGATTAATCGGTTGACAGCACTAATACAAAGTATAGTGTTATAAATGTACATACATTAAAAAAATAATAATAATCAAAATATACAATAAACCTTTGAGGATTTACGATGCTGATGACCATTGCAATGCGTGGTCACAGTCTTGTGAAAAGGGTCCATTAGTGAGGACATCCACACACTATTCTGTATGATCACTGGATTCACTGAATTCACATTCACTGTATGTTTGACACTCGAACACATCACAGCAGAGGAGTAAAATCGTGCATCTGAACATCACTTACCAAAGTTCTCACCACCCCAGATGTCCATGTGAGTGTCATACTGGCCCAGGTGATTAAACCAGCCTTTATCCATGACAAAGATTCCTCCAGCAATCACAGGAGTCCTGCCACAGCAGCGGTTGGTATGGACATGAGACCACGACAGTAATAAACACAGCACTAATACAAAGTATAGTGTTATAAATGTACATACATTAAAAAAAAAATAATAATCAAAATATACAATAAACCTTTGAGGATTTACGATGCTGATGACCATTGCAATGCGTGGTCACAGTCTTGTGAAAAGGGTCCATTAGTGAGGACATCCACACACTATTCTGTATGATCACTGGATTCACTGAATTCACATTCACTGTATGTTTGACACTCGAACACATCACAGCAGAGGAGTAAAATCGTGCATCTGAACATCACTTACCAAAGTTCTCACCACCCCAGATGTCCATGTGAGTGTCATACTGGCCCAGGTGATTAAACCAGCCTTTATCCATGACAAAGATTCCTCCAGCAATCACAGGAGTCCTGCCACAGCAGCGGTTGGTATGGACATGAGACCACGACAGTAATAAAATGCTTCTAGTTTTCTAAAAGCTTCTGGGTGCTTGGATTCGTAGGTATTTCATTGTTACAAATTTGCTTCCATTTGATTAGTTGTCAAGTTTTTTCTTTGTATTCAAGATTCTAAAACTTTAAATAGGCTTAAATAAGATTTGAGATTTTCAATCTGCCATCAGACTTGAATGAAGATAGAGAGAGAGAGAGACCTGATTGGTTGTGTTGGGTCGTTTCTTGCCATTTTCTGTTCTATAGGAATCTGCTCCCATTTGAAGTGTAAACTCCAGTCGAAACCTGACGTCAGAGGGGAAAAAGTGAGGCGGTTACTTCTGGAATCAACACATGCAGTACATTTGAATCTGTCAGCAATCAGACTAGTGGTGGATTGATTTTTTTTTTTGATGGCCGATACCATAAAGTACAAATGTGACCCTGGATCACAAAAGCAGTCATAAGTAGCACGGGTATATTTGTAGCGATAGCCAACAATACATTGTATGGGTCAAAATTATCCATTTTTATTATACCAAAAATCATTAGGATATTAAGTCAAGATCATGTTCCATGAAGATATTATGTAAATTTCCTACCGTAAATATATCTAAATTAAAATTTTGATTAGTAATATGCATTGCTAAGAGCTTAATTTGGACAACTTTAAAGGCGATTTTCTCAATATTTTGATTTGATTTGATTTTTTTTGCACCCTCATTTTTCCAGATTTTCAAGTTATTGTATCTCAGCCAAATATTGTCTTATCCTAACAAACCATACATCAATGGAAAGCTTATTTATTCAGACATTCTTATTTATGAAATCTCAATTTCCTAAAATTGACACTTAGGACTGGTTTTGTGGTCAAGGGTCACATATAATATAATTTAAACAACACGCAAAACAATTGCTGCCATGAAATGTAATTTATTTTACATACTAAATTGAAATTATTAACTGTAAAAAAAAAAAAGAAAAAAAAAAGATCTTGATAAAAAAATAAACCTGTAAAAAAAGCATTTATGCTTTAGTGACTTTTTGATTCTGTAATCCTGTAATATATGTTTTTATAGTATTATATGTTTTCGTGCAGCTCAAGCAGTAGGTCAACACCAAGGTCATGGGCTCCAATCCCAGCTGAAACAAAATGTAAATGTAAACCTTGAATGCAAAATAAGATGCTTTTTATAGAAGCATCTGCCAAATTCATAATTGTAAACTATAGTATTTTTCGCAAATAAAGTTGAAGAAAAGCCAACAGTGCACAGACAGATAAAAGAGATGATTTTGTATGGTAAAGCAGTGAGATCTCTCACCTCCTCTCAGGTCAGCAGAAGCGGCCAGGTAGGCGAAATTATCCAGACTGATCACATCAATGATGGGACTGACCACACGTGTATGATCCTGCAGGAGAACAATGGGTAAAAAGCTTTGATTTATTTAGTGGTTAATGTGTTTCAGGCCAGCTGAATGCAGCAGAAAGAAGGACACAAGCCATGTGTGTCTCCATGACCACCCTGCTTTAAGTTGAATTAGGAGGAAATGCATGAAATTTAAATTTATCTATTTTCTAAATGCATTTTATAGATCTTATTATGAAAGATTCATCAACTCAAAAACCATCCAAACAGATTAGTCTAAACCAGTCGTACAATATAAACTAAACTGTTTAAATAAATGAAATGATTTTTTCAGAAGAGAGAAAGATGTCAAATTTATGGTCACTCCCTCAGCAGCTGTATTGCAAACCCCATCACAGCAGCTGTATTTTATTGCCAAGGTAATAGTGTTATAAATGCACAAACAATATTTCAAAAATAAAAAATGCATCATATGACTGCGTAAAGGCTCTGTGGATTTGCAGCATAGCCTGATGCAGAGCTCTAGTGTGTTCTTTGCTACTTTGCTTGCTGCAGTGCATATACTTGTGCATACACAAAACTATTTTACGAGCATGTAAGCATGCGTATGTCGCATAAAAAAACGTGTGCCGGGGAAGTTCATATTACAACTGCATAAGAAAATCAAGTGTTTTCAATTAGAGCTGGCACTGTATGCAAACATGCTGAACTCTGCGCTCACAGCTCGAGTATGTGCGGAAAAGCCCAGAAATCCATCTGCAATACATCCCACCTACAGCAGATTGACAGCAGGACACTCAGAAGAAGCCTGTGGCTTGTCAGTTTCTTTTCTTAAAAAAAAAAAAAAAGTACTGTGAGTTTACCATGGTGCTGTGATGGCATCAAATAGTACTGGTACTGAATGATTACAGCTTGGCATTTACATGGTAGTGGTACTTCAAAGAACACCATCATATTACCATGTGTAACGGGGCGAACGAGACGTGAGGATCCATTTGCAAGGCTTTATTTAGACAGAGACGTGGTCATAAAACAGGCATGGGTCAGACAGTGGCAAGCAGGTACAGTACAGGCAAGACAAAAGAGTATCCAAAGGAAGGCGTGAGTCAGTCGACAGTGAAAATTATCCAGAGGACTTGACAAGAGGGGAAGTCCAATAACACGAGCAATAAGCCAGGTGAGGTACAAACACAGTCCGAAACAGAAAGGCAAAGGGTTAATTCAAGATAAACAGGCAATAATCAGGTAACACGGGAAAGCAGGCAGGACTAGGAACTAAGGACTAGGAACTAAGACAGGAAACTGGCTCCGTAATGTGCTACCACTAGGAGAGCAATATATTTATATAGTGTGTGTTATTAGTAGCCTTCAGGTGAGCGTGTGATTGGTTTTCTGATGCTCAAGTGCCTTGATTTTACATTTGATATAACTACACTTTCATATTTACATCTGAAGAAAATGTGACCAAAGAAAAAGTCCACCCTCATGTCTTCAGCAATCATCCAGAATCACGGCCTGCAGCACAAACAAGTTATACTGAGAAAAACTAGGCTCTTGGCTCCATAACAAAGCTCTTATGCTGCAGAAAAGTGATTGAGGAGATGATGATGATGATATTCATTTTTGATGATTAAGGACGAGAGAGGCTACATGGTGCAGCTGTGAGAAGACAAACGGCCTTCCTCTCGCTCTGATTCTGGGAAAATCTCCCTCTGAAGAACCAGACTGGACTCAGGCCATTTATGACTCATTACTGACTCTCCGCACTCACCATGTTAAAGCAGAGATCTCAAGTGAAAAATATGATCAAACTCTACAATAATCTGCTGCTAATTCATCTGTCCCTAGGTAAAAGCTAGATGTAACATGGACAGGTTGCATGGCATGCATCATCCTCTAAAACTTACATGATTGAAAAAAGGAAATATGACCTAGACTACTATAAACATAGGTTCACACAGTGAGAATAAACATGACCACAATGTGTTTTGTGCTGTGAGAGAATGAAAATTCAAATGACATTAGAAATGCTTAATCTTCCAAAACGTCAAGCATTTTGCGTAATCTAGATTTCGGACATTTGTGTTTCATTTTGTACAGTAAACACTTATAGAAGTGTTTGCGTCACCAGAGTCCTGAAGCAAAAGCAGTCGAGAAACACTGCTCTGAAACAGACATGATCAATGCTTCTCTTAAGTCTTCATACACAGCTGTGTACTTCTGATGCTCCCACGCAAAAAAAAAAGAAAAAGAGAGAAAAAGAGTCTTTAAAATGTTTGGAAAATGGCTAGATGCCCTAGAAATCCATCATGATAAACTGTAAATATTGGCCTGTGACTAATTGGACTAACTTTCACTATGTGACACATTCATTCGTACCAAAGGGTTTGATTGTATGCACAATGTTCGATGTCAACAATAAACTACACTATCTGTCAAAAGTTGGAAATAATTACAATTTATTGCATAAAGTTTTATAAAGATCTCTTATGCTCGCCAAGGCTGCAATTATTTGATAAAAAATACAGCGAAAACAGGAAAACGTTTTTTATGTTTTATATTTTTTATATCTAAAGCGAGTTTTTTGGGCAGTGTAGAGTAGGGCTTGTCGTTTGTAATTTCTCCGATCACAAATGCAGACATGGTTTTATGTTTACGCGGCGCGATGCAACGCAACGCGTAAAAAGACAGTATAAGTCATTATAATCCATCATTATGTCCCCACTGGATGCAACAAATGCCTCGTTTATAATGTGTTTTAATGTTTTTGTCTCGTCGCTCCGGCCGGACACGGCATCAACAGTATGGTGAGGGGCGTAACATTTCCGTCACACGCTTGAGGTATTCGGCCAATCACAACGCACTGGATAGCTGGCCAATCACAGCACACCTCGCTTTTCAGAACGATGAGCTTTGTAAAAATTGACACGTTTCAGAAAGGCGGGGCATAGAGGAGAAACAATAATGTACAGTATGTGGAAAATAATGTGGTTTTTTTACCTTAAACCGCATAAACACATTTCATTACACCAAATACACAAAATAATGTTCTTTTTAGCAACATCATATGACCCCTTTAAATATATAAATATATACATTTAATTTATTCCTGTGATGCAAAGCTGAATTTTCAGCATCATTAATCCAGTCTTTAGTGTCACGTGATATTCAAATAGAGAACAAAGGGTAAGCAGAGCAGAAGAAGTCTCTTTCAAAAACATTTAAAAAAAAAAAGTCATTATTCCAGACTGGTAGTATATATGGGAGGAGCTTTTTTGTTGCAATCTAAAAGCTTATAAAGACTGTTTATTTTGATTATCTAACTATGCACAATTACAGTTCTAGTTTGATCTCTGTTGGTGTTTGGCATTGTTTTATTCCTTTTGTCTTACTGTAGATAAATAAGGAAAGGCATCTGTCATACTGTACCTAATAAAGTAACAAACTGTTATGTATTGGAACACTTTGCATTTAGATAGAATTTCGTTGTTAATAATGGTTCAATGTGGTTGTGTTTTGCACGTCGTGATACCTCTTTGACTCTCAGGATCATGGGCTGCAGCCAGTCTGTGTTGACCTCACAGTGACTGTCCAGGAAGGTGAGGATGGAGGCCGAGGCCGCAGACGCCCCTCTGACACGAGACCGGATCAGACCTGATCAACACCAGCACATGTTCATTACCCACAACACATCGCCATCCCAAAATAATTAGAACAACACCAAATAATACATTCATTGAGTGCACAGATGAAGTTTGTCAGTTGCGTCTAATAAAGGCCACATTAAATCTAAATGGGACTTTTGTGTTATTTAAATCCATGTCTGGTAGATTTTAGTACATTAACATACCACTTCATCTGTATGTTAATGCACTAAAGCTGATCAAATTAACCTTTTAGTTTTTTTTAATGTTAATGTTTTTGAAAAGTCTCTTCTGCTCACTAAGGCTGCAATTATTTGATTAAAGGTGCCATAGAATGCATTGATACAATATTTTAAATTGTTCTCTGATATCTACATAGATGGTATGTGGCTTACATAAGGGCAAAAAATCTCCAGAAACGGTTTCACATGTCCATTTACAACCCTAGGATTTGTCCCCAGAATGAAATGGTCTGTTTTTACCTTATTTGGAAGGGTCATGAATAATAATGTTGAGCTCTGCTCTGATTGGCTGTTTCACAGTACGGCTCATTTCGGTAGCTCACACAGCAGGAAGGAAACACAGGGAAAATATATATTTCAATACTTTCTCTTGCAGTTATATCATTGGGTAATTATACTGTATATAAAACGCAGGCATTAGGGAGCCGCTATTAATATGCGGGGCATTGAAACTGCTTTCGAAT